TCTCTTTGGTCTTTTCTCTCCCCTTGTTGTGAAGGGGTGTTATAATCATTACACTTGTTTTGCCACAATCAAATGATTCTGAAGTTTCCTCCAGGGACCCTTTGACATTGAATGTTTTGTGGATTTTCATGGTATGCATGTGGCATTGGCCCCAATAATATTCCGTTGATTCTTGATCAACGTGTGCATTGCTTCTCACAGGTTAGGTTTCTGACAAAAATATATCATCCAAATATTGATAAGGTTTGCTCTCTTTTCTCTACTTTCTCATTGTTCTTCTGTGGTGATCCATTTCTTACAAATTAAAGTTTAATGCCAGCTCGGAAGGATATGTCTTGATATTCTGAAAGATAAGTGGAGTCCGGCTCTTCAGATACGTACTGTTCTTTTGAGGTATCATGAATTTCCATCTCAACCTACTTATTTCCTTAAAAATATGGGGTAGATGTTCATATAGGTACATGTCATTTTCCTATATCAAGTGGCGTATGTATGGTAAAATATATATGCTTGTACATTGATATATACTACTAGACTAAGTTTTCTTCAGCTAAATTGTGTGATCACACTGCTAATTTGGACGTATTTTTCATTGCTTGTATAAATTTAGAAGTTCTCGTACTAGCCAAAAAAATTTTGGTGTGAAACAAAGAAAAACAAAAATAGAAAGAATGAATGAATCAGGGAGAGATGTTAAATTCTGGCTCAACTTCAGTGCTACTGGATGTTAGTTTTGGTCATTAGAGCATCCCTCTGCTGGTTAAGAGAGGGAGGAAATGCTATGAGCAAGCTGATAGAAAATATTGCAGTAACTGACTTTTCAACAAAAAGAAAATTATGAACTGATACTAAGAACTTTCTTGTTATTCTTTTAGCATCCAAGCACTTTTGAGTGCACCAAACCCAGACGATCCGCTTTCTGAGAACATTGCCAAGCATTGGAAAACAAATGAGGGCGAGGCTGTTGAAACAGGTGTATTTACTGTCTTTGATTGTTCAGAAATCACTTGTTGATGATGTCATAACATTTTGAATGTGTCTTATTGACAATGTTGCTTTTGCAACTTGCAGCAAAAGAGTGGACCCGATTATATGCCAGTGGTGCCTAATGCGATGACGGAAACTTTTGGCCTGAAAATAACCATGATGCAAAATGTATGCTATTAGTATTAATTATCAATTTGAAATGGAAATTTGGAGGAATTGGAGTCTGAACATTTGAAGTTATTGTTCCTCAGATTGCAGTTTCCTGTTATTTCCTTTCTTCTCCTGGAAGCAGTTATCTCGGATCTTGTATGAATATATATATGGTAGCCATTTATCTGTCACATTCAGCACATGAACCATCTTCAACTGTTAAGTAATTACTGATTTTGAATTGTGGAAGTCAGAGTGAAAATTGTGGAAAGTGAAAAAGAAAAAGGTTTCTGTAGAGTTTCTTCTTTTTGCCATGAATTCTTGCTCTCTGTGATGTGCATGGTTGGGTTCCAATTATCCCATGATCCTAATTCTGGCTAGCTAATGTGTTATAGATCTTGATAGTGCATCAGTCGCTGTATGTGTTATTGTGTTCTCTGGATTCACTGCCTGAGGTTTTTGTTTGTTTTTTTTTTTTTTTGCCCTTTTTTGGGGGGCGGGTGTTTCCCAAATTAGATTTTTTTTAACAAGTTTCCATGTCGCAAATGTGTTTCTGGTTGAAAAACAAAATGGTTAAAATTTGTTTTGCAAAATTAAAAAAAAATCAAAATATCTTTTTAATATTTTGTTATTTCCATGTCCCAAACTAGATAACTAGAAGATGGAGAGAACATTATATTTTCATTGGTGATAGTTATGTTGATAAAGCAAACTTATCCTCTTCTCTTTATGTCACCAATTTAGATATGTCTTGCAAAATAATGATTCAAACAATGTTGTTAATTTTTTATTTTCAAGAAAACAGAAAGAGTCAAAGAAATCCTCAATCTGAAGGGCAATATTTCCTGTTTAGGACCAAAACGGCCTACGACGGTGTTGTTGTACACCGTACTGTTGGCAGTTGGCACAGTAGCCTGTTTGTGTGTTTTGGCATTTTTATTTTCGTATCAATTTGCCAAATAAAAAGGAGACTTGAAAGATTCTTTGGAGGGACGGTCCTTTTCTGTCACTTTGTCTTTCCATGATTTTGCTTTTTACACTGTGGGCCTTCTCTACAGCACCAAAGTCGTTGGACATGACCACACCCTTTGTCTGGTTTCCTGATACTTTATTTATTTATATACTCAAATAACCATGTGATGCATGCCCATTGGCGGATCTAGCAGAAGTAACAAATTTTCCCATGCTGGAACCATCCGTGTTTGTAGTGTTGCAAAGAAGATTATCTTCAATCAGAAGGTATTCATACGTAACAAAAAAAAAATTGATACTATCTCTGCCCCTTAATATAAAATCTTGTTTGACTTTTATTTTGGTTTTAAATATAAGATTCTAATTTATTTTGTTTCTCATATTTAAACATTTTTTCCAAGATAATCCTTCTAAGTTCTAACAATAGTAGTTCTAACCAATACACTTGATTAACAAGGATATTTTAAGAAAGACAACACATATTTATTACAAATAACTAACTTAACTTATTTCTTTAATCTCCTCAAATTAGTCAACTAGCTTTTATAATTAGAACTGAAAGTGACATTTACAGATAACTAGATTAGATTTTTTGGCAAAAGAATTATTAGCAATAATTATCTGCGTTTAAAATTCTGTAATTTATAAATAGACAGGTTATTGCTTCCCGATGACTGACTTATCTTTTAATCTAAACAAATTACAGAACTTAGTTACATGCCAATGAAATGAAAACAAAGTACAACAAAATCCAGGCTTGACGGGTGTTCTGTAATACTACCCTCATAATCACATTTTTCCAAAAACAAAAGAATACCTCTCCAACCTGAAAATTCTAAATCAGTTTTATTTGTTATACTTTAATAGTAACTAACTATACTTAAAAAAACAATTAATGACATATTTTTATAATAATTCTGAATTTTTTGATTTTGAAATTCAAGAGTTATTTTTTTAGATTTTTTGTAAATTTTAATCATTGAAATTACTTGTAATATTTTTCAACAATTTTGTCACACCCATCGGAAACTACGAAGTAAATACTAAAACTGGTGAAATACGGGATAAGACAAAATTAGATATTCAAAAATGTTTTATTAGGATTATTTGAGCAACATATCCTTTAGATTAATTAGAATATAATTGTTGGCAAAAAACTAAGGATTTAATTACATTTCCTTATTATTATCTTTAATAGAATTAGTTCAAATTTTATTTATTTTTTATAAAATAAGATATTTATATCACCATGATTGTATGACTTTATTTTTTAAGACTAAATTAGAAATTTGAATCATTATTTTAATATTTCTAGGACTCCATAAAAAGCCATAGAATTCATCATGATAGGCATACAAGATTAATCAACTAAAATATTCCCTTCCACCTCTAACATAATAGCTAGTTGAACTATTAATTTTAATCTCAAATATAAAACTCCAATTTATTTTATCTTTCATATTTATTATTTTTTTAGATAATTCACCTAACTTTTAAACTACTACCTCCAATCCTTAATATAAAAACTAATTGACTAATTTAAATAAATTAAGAAAGTTTGTTGAGTTACTTGTAATATCTATGTCTTACCCAAAATACTTTTACTAATCATGTATTAGCTAAAACTACCATTTGATTAAACTTTTAATATATACAACTACTACAAAGACTATTTTGAAAAAAAAATGAATAACTATGATAAGCAAAGTAAATTTAAATCTCATATTTAACACTAAATTAAAAATCAAACTACCCCTTATATTAAAAACCGAAAATAGTAATATATCATCTAATGTTGCATAAAGATCAAAATATACTATAGTAACTTTTATTATAACAAGTAATTTGTATTCATTGGCCCTTTTCTCTCCGTCTTCTGATAGGCTGATAACAACTAATTTAATCTACGTGGGTATACAATGAATCACATGTACCTAAAAATTGTTCCAAATGGCTCAACATTAAAGGCAAGTCAAAGAGTGGCCGGTGCGCACCGACTAAGGAAAACTTTTAGGAGCCTTCGTGTCCCCCTTTCAAAGGAGCGGGCAACATCTTAAATGCCCACATGTGATCACAAACCCCCCCCCCCCAACCTTTCTCTCTCACAAATACCTGTATTTTTTTGTCAAACATCATCTCTCTTACTCTTGCCTATCAAACAAGCCCACATAAAATAATAAAACATATGGATCACTGGTCCAACTCCTCTCTCTCTCTCTCTCTATATATATATATATGTGAGAGGGATACAGACAGACACAGTACTAAAAGATGACAAAGTTATGGTTTCTATCATATCAACCACCCAATCCATCCATCCTCCCCACTCAATAATAACTAAGCCTTCACTTAAAAACACATGTAACTTGCCTTTGCTGTCAAACACTGAACAGCAACACAGTTCATCTTAAATGCCATATCCACCTACTCAATCCCAAACACCATGTCAGCTTTTCCCAAGTACTTCAGTTTATAAATGATAAATGAATCCAAGTTCCATCCTTTGTAGTAATAAAGGGATATGGGGAAGTGAGATCAAATTGAATCATCTACAATATGAAGGCCACTTTCTTGCCTCTCTTTTTCAGCTGTCTTTACTGTACCATACTTCATTGCTTTAATGAATGTAGAGAATTCAGATTTGTGCAGAATCGAGTCCACCGGGTGTCTCTTTTCGGTATTAGGATAGAAATAAAATCATAGTTTTGAAAGTACTTTCATAGTATATAAAGTAAATATATCTAGGAGTTTGCTTCCATTTACGAAAAAGCACTTTTGAGGTTACCCAAACACCTTGTGCCTAATGCTGCGCTGCAGAGGCTTTGAGACAGTAAAGAACACAATTAACATGGTCTAACAAGATAATGATAAACCTTCAAGGCAGTCATCACTGATGCCGAAGCAAGAAAAAATGGGAAATTTTATTCATTACGTGGCTAAAGATAGAAAAATGATAATAACAACAACATAATAATCCTCATTTCTGGAGGTGCCCACCCAGCACTCATTAAATCTCCTCAAAGGCTTCCAATATTTGGTCGGTATGTATCATTACATATATACATGTACAGATCCCCCTCTACCAACAGAACCCCCTCATCTTTCTCTTTATATTTGACTATCTATCTATTTAACTTAATGGTAATTAAACTGCCAATTAAATCAAATGTACAGACATGTAAAATCTTCCCCCTTTTTTTGGCTTTTTTCAATCATAGTGAAAGATGGGGACACAGTACTAGCTGACCTAGATGAACTGGAAAGAAGATAGAAAGAAAACTGACAAAGGGAGATAGGAAAAGAACGAACCAGAAAACAATGAGGAATGAATGAATAAATAAAAACTGTAAAAGGAACTAGACCATCTCTGGGTTCCGCTGGCGTTGGCTACTAATGAGATTTATTATCTGTGGTTCTGTTCCAGCTAGGTCACAGGAATCAGCTGATCATTTTGTGGTGGGAACGGGATCAAGAAACTGGAATGACTCAAGAGACGGAATAGCTTGAGAGTTTCAGTTCAACCAGAGGTCTTAACAGCAAGAGAAATTGCAGAAGATAGAGCAGAGAAGTACAAGTCATGAGTTCTAAAAGCTATAATGCCTCACAGAGTGTTCCAACATGTCACGACTAGGACACACAATTTCCTTCACACGATAGCCATTCTTGTAGATCTTGAATGTAGGTACAATTCTAACGCTCTCAGCCGTTGCAACTGTTGGGCATTCTTGAATATCCACCTTTAATCAAACACAAAATTGCAGGCAATATTAAGAAAACTCCAATGATGCTCACCTATAATCTTTATTTAATATTTGGGTTTCAAGATGATAAAAGTTAATCTGTGAAGTACCTTAAGGAAGTTAATAGAAGGATACCGGCCACATAATGTACCCATAAATGGTGAGATTTGCTTGCATTGTGGGTTAGATGCAATTTCAAAATGGACCACGGAAACACCTATAAAGCCTAGGGTCAATCTCATTCACAGGAAAAAGGAGCAGCCTAACCACTGAAGATAGCCTTCAAACATTTTTGTTACCTGGTAATGCTATTGCTGCTCTGAATTGCTCAAGACCAGATACTTCTTCCACCTCACCACCAAATTTCAAATCATGCACTTCCTCTCCACGAGATTTCTTTAATGCCACTACGGCATGAAACAGAGCTTCAGCTACTTCACTGTCATCTGGAAGATCTCTCCGCAAGATCTCATAATCTTTGACAGCTTCTGCCCACCTTTCTAACTGCAATATACAGCAAGGGGTTACATGAGCTATCTATGAGTTTGGAAACAAAATGTATGACACGTATTAAAGAAAAAGGACAAAATACCTTGCTATTACATGCAGCCTTACGTAGAAGAGCTTTTGTGTAATTAGGTTGGAAACGTAAAGCTTGATTGCAATCCTCAATTGATTGTTCCCAGTGTCCAAGCTTAAACCAGCAAGCTGCTCTATTGCAGTAAAGAACAGAATTTGAAGGATCTAGCCTCAAACCTTCCCCATATGCTGAGCAAGCTTCAGTGAACCTTTCAGATTTGAAAAGATCGTTGCCATGCGCTCGAGCTCTCGCCACCATCCTTACATTTTTTAGCAAAACGGTAACTTCGATGTTCCGGGGATCAATCTGACCAGCTTTCTCAGCAGCTGTAACTGCATTCTCAAATCTGCAAATAAATCATCATCAATACACACTCTCCAACGGAAGCCCTTGCCATCTTAGATTTCTGATGAAGGTAAAAGTTTTTGAACTCACCTTCCCAGGGCCATCTCAATCTGAGCTCTCACAAAGAAGGAATAAGCTTCAGAAAGGATCCCAAAAAATCTTGCCTGTGAAGTGAAGTTAGTATGTGGTTCTAATTTGGGATTGTTTAACAGACTTGATTCAGCATCATCAACTTGGTGGAGTTTCAAAAGGGCTTCTGCTCTACAAATAAAGAGCTGTAAATTCAATTATCAACCACAGTTCAGCCATTTTTCCTCAATCTCTATGTCCATAATATATTCTATGTCAGATACGACAATGGAATTATTTTACCTCAGGAGAAGAGTCTACTCCGGAAGAAATGGCACCATCAATTTCCCTGAGCACACTTTTCCAATCACCTATCTTCCGGGAATCAGTACATTTCCCGATATGCTTCTCGACTAATTGCAATTTCTGCAACTCAAAAGGATCAGGTGGCAGCCCAGGGCAGAAGAGATGTTTCCTGGCATTCTCAACTTGCCCTAACCTGTGACCACAAACAAGGGTTCATTCAACCTCAAAATCCACAACTCTGCCAACACATAAGCAGACACCTTGCACTGGATACAGCACTGAATCCAGAATAGTGAGATAAATTGTAGCACTTGTAGTCACATCATGTTACAGTTGGTAGAAAACAATCAAGCGGTGGAATCCAAATATACACCAGTGACAGAACAATTCTTAACAATGCCATCAACGCAGAAAGCCTCCGAACACATTGAACTAACAAAGAAATTTGGGTTTTAAATTGACACCAATGCAAAAGAGTAGAAAAATAGAAAATTCAATCAAATCGCCCCAACACAAACAGACAAAAGGAACATTATTCATGAAACCCAAACACTAAATGACTACTTGAGATCAGAAATAACTCACACTGCAGCTTCAACCAAAATCAGTTGTAGAAGCAATAAAGAGAACAAGCCAACCGAATTCACTATTTTCAAAAAAGGAAGCAACGATAAGCACAAAATAACTAACGAACCTGATCTGGGATCAGATGACAGGATTCATTCCACACATTTACCAATGTAACATTCTTGAAAGCAAGACTACACACAAAGACAACAAGAAAACAGGAGCAAAATGATGAAGTTCAAGCGCACCGTAGATAAAGAGAAGCCAAGCGTTGATGTGCCCTCCCATAATTGGGATCTAACCTCACAGCCTCTTCACACTCCCTCACAGCCTCGGCCAACCGTCCCAAACCAGTCAATGCGGCTGCACGGTTGCTCCGATAGGCTGCGTTAGCAGGGGATAATGTAATTGCTCGATCGTACAGACCCAGAGCCTCGGCGAAGTGGCCCCTCTTGTACTGCTCGTTCCCTGCTCTCTTCACCTCTTCTGGATCCACCACCGCTCGCTTCATTGAGTCAGTGACGACACCTCCACCGCTCGGCCTCGCATTGGCCGCACTGGTCATTCCTCCAGCGTTGCCTTTGGAAGTCGCACCGCCCCGCATTATGCTTCCATGGCCATAATTTGCTATCCCAGAACCCAAAACGTCCGTCCTGGAGCTCCGACTGACCGCGGCAGCGGTCTTCAGAATCTTGCCGGACGGACAGATATTGCCTGTGGGAAGAAAATTCGGCGGCGGCGAATTCACAGAGGAGCTTTGGCCAGAGTAAATTAATGGTTGGGTGGTCTTGGAATCTGATCTTGCTTGAGGCGATTTGAAGTTCCTGGCATTCCCTACGGCGGTCGGACTGTTCTCACCGGAGCCGGAGAGCTCGCCGGAGTGGTTATTCGGGTCGTAATCAGATCGTTTGGCGACCGGTTTGTACCCGTTTCGTCCGCAAACCGATCCAGATGAACTCGAACTACTACTAGTAGTGGTGAGTCCGCTGGCACTGGCAGCAGGTACACTATGACGTGTCCGCAATGGCGAAACCGGCGAGCCCAAGTCGAGTTCTCGAAAATCCGGCTTGTTGGCCTCACAGCTCAAAGAGCCGTGGAATCGGTCGTTGAGAGCATCGACTCCTAGCTCGGAAATGGGCTTCCCAGAATGCGACATTTTCCCGCGAATCTACCACAAAAGGGGGGGTCTCAAATCCTCTCTCTCTCTCTCCCCTTCTCAAGTTTCACAAAAGCTAGATAATGGAACCAGAAGGTACCCTACAAGAAGCACGAACAGAGAAACATAAAACTGCAACTACAAGCTTCGAAGAAGACATGAGAAGGAAAAAAGAAAGAGAGAAAGGGATGGGGATCTCGTGATATAAAAGGAGGAAGCAAAGAATGAATATGGGTATTGAAATTCCAATGGAGAAAGAGAAACCCCAAAAAAAAAAAGTTTTGTTTAGATAGAGAGAGAGTGGAATTTGCACAGAGAAACAGAGAGAAAGAGGATGAGGAGAGGAAAGAAGTTAAAGAGAGAGCTTTTATTTTCTTTTCCTCCTCTCCTTTACCTGCTGCTTCACGAGACAGGTTTCACTTCTCCCCCGAATATCTACACTCTCGTCCCTCCCTTTCTAGCGATCAATTGTACTATTTTCTCACTTGTCATCATTGTTTTCTCAGGTTTGATTTGGTTTTATTTACTTTGGCTTTTCTTTTTGAATAGAACTCCCTCTTCTGTAATCTTCTTCTTTTGCTTTATGATGATAATAATAATTCTCCTTCTTTGTTGTATTTTTCTTAATCAATCTTCATCTAGTGCCATTTCAGACTCCGTGTGAGAATCTCCCCCTTAATAATTCTTGAAGCCAAAGTAAAGTTTCTCATTCTCATTTTCGGTGCTTTCTCTTTGCCCAGTGTCCTCAAAATATATGTAATGTTAAAAAAAGATATTAATCATTTAATTCTATTTATGTTTAGAATAAAAACTAAATTTTAAAAAAGATAAAGGGAAAATTGCAAATAAAGACTCCCAATTTTGTAAAATCATAATTTAGGACTCTAAATTTGAAAAATAACAAATAAGAATCCGGTTTCACTTTTGTAAATATGAAATATTGGTGAAATATCTAAAATGCCCCTCAATCAAATGACAAGTTGACTATAAGAAATGACAAGTTCACTTTAGCGAATAACAATTTCAATAGACCAAATCACAACTTGACTGAGCCTGAGAGTATGCCAAATGACAAGTTAACTATGAAAAATGACAAATTCACTTTAGCAAATGATAACTTCAATAAACCAAATCACAATTTGACTGAGGGGCATTTCAGATATTTTACCAACATTTCATATTTACAAAAGTAGGATGGGGTTCTTATTTGCTATTTTCTAAATTTAGGATTCCAAATCACAATTTTACATATCTTGGAGTCTTTATTTGCAATTTCTCCAAAGATAAAACTATATGGTTTATCAACAACAATTTATACGAAATCAAACTGATTTATCTGTAAGAATTTTTACTATCTTCTAATGCAAATAAATCAAATAAAAAAAGTAATATTTCATTTTTTAACACTTTCGGTTAAAAAAAATGGTATGGTTATTTTAGCCTGAATTAATTTGGTATGCTTCATATCTAAGTGTCTAGAATAATATCGTATTTTGAACTTTTTTTTTTCAACACATTGCAGATAAAATTATTAAAATTCCTGTGGCCTATGGTCTCTACACAATTAAAAATGGGACTAGGTTGTTAACCTCCGCTCAATCTTTTGATAATTTGAGAGATAAAACCTTTTAGAGAGTCATTTGGAAACCCCCTTTATCTTTTAAATACATTTTTTATTTCTAAAAACTGCTGATTAAGGATATTCTTCTGCAGTTGTACCATAATGAACATCTCAATTTGTTTTGTGGGATTTTGTGTTTACTGAGGACCATTTGAAGCAAAAGAAATTAAGCTATGCATCATGAAAAGATTGATGACCCTCATGTGGTGATAACAGAAATCAATGGCTCACTTGCCCTCTCTCTCTCATATGGCTTTTGAAAAGCCATCATGTCCTGTCTTCCCATGTGGCAGTCCTGTGATAATTTTTGAAGACGATTTGAGAAATCTTGCAGATTGGAGCATTATCATCTGTAAGTTCAAGCATCCATGAAGGCATTTTTGTCAATGTGTTATTTATTGGTAAGGAACTGCTTTAACAAAAAGATTTTGGAGAATACTGCTTAACCTGGTTTGCTGTTTTCATCTGGGTGCTTCAGAGTTTCTTTGCTATGGATTCTTAATTCTGATATAAGCAGGCAAGAAGAGCATCCCCATTTAAATATTATCTGGGTTGATAAAATTTCTTTCACCATGAAGGCAACTCATCATCATCAATCTTGAACAATCACATAGCACGAGATTTTAGCTCTTCTCCGTAATTTTCATGTTCTGCTATTTAAATTAATTCCTTTTAATGTATTCTTTGATTTTTTTTAGGAGGAAGTCTTTCTTTTTTTTTTTGGCTTGTTTTAGCACTCTATAAACCTTATTCTTTTTAATACTCCTTAATATAAGACCTAATTATTGAGTTAATTTTAGTTTTAAATGTAAAACTTATTTATCATATTTATCAATTTTTTCTAAATTACTATTATTAATACTGCCTCAACCATAATCAAGTAGGGAAGAAGGATATTAAAAAAGATAATTATAGTATTTTAGGAAAAACATGTCATATTTCTTATAACTTACTACCTCCGGTCTTAATTATAAGAGCCAGTTAACTAATTTGAGGATATTAAGGAAGTAAGTTGAGTTAGTTATTTGTCCTAAATAGGTGTTGTCTTTCCTAAAACATCCTTGCTAATCAAGTGTATTGACTAAAACTATCATTGTTAGAAGAACTACCTTAGAAAAAAATATATAAATATGAGAGACAAAATAGATTGAGATCTTATATTTAGGACCAAAATAAAAGTCAAACAAGGTCTTATATTAAGGACCGGAGGTAGTACAATCAACTAATTTACCTAACTTTTTTAATCTAATCAAATTAATTAAATAGGTCTTACATTAAGGATCTATATAGTATATTATTTTGCCTTTTCTTCCAAAAAAATCAAAAATTCCAAAATTTGAAATATTATTTTTTTTTACAGAATTATTTGTATTTGCTCGATTAAAATATTATATATGATTTAATTTACTTCCTCGCAAGTACTTCCTATTTTTGTTAAATAAATTAAAAGTGCTGCATAAGAGGAATACTCATCTGGTCCTTAATGTAAGACTTAATTATTAATCTGATTTTGATCTTAAATGTAAGACCTATTTTTTATATTTATCATTTTTTTCTAAATTACTTATATTAATACTCGCTCAACCATAACCAAGTAGAAGATGAAGAGATGATATTAATAAGAAAAATGATTATAATGTTTTAGGAAAAAAAACATGTCATATTTCTTATAATTAATTAACTTACCTAAATTTTTTAATCTAATCAAATTAGTTAAATAAGTTTTACATTAAGGATAGGAAGAGTATATCATTTTGCCTTTTCTTCAAAAAAAAATCAAAAATTCCAAAATTTGAAATATTATTTTATTTTTTTACAGAATTATTTGTATTTGCTCGATTAAAATATTATATATGATTTAATTTACTTCCTCGTAAGTACTTCCTATTTTTGTTAAATAAATTAAAAGTGCTGCATAAGAGGAATTCTTTTTGTAGCTTTATGATTGGAAATCGATATGGTTAAAGGATTAAATTGAAGTCCGATATAAAATAAAATGACTTAAAAGTACATAACTTTGCGTAGGTACAAGTTTGCATATGTGACCTCCTCGCAAATATTGGTGTCAGTATATATAGAATGCCCAATATAAATTTGTCAATAATACTCAATATAAGATAATTTCATAAAAATAAATCATTCATATCATTTGCAAAGTCAAGTACAATTTTATAAGTCTTACTGAAAATGAAGTTGAAATATCATGTTGTAGAACATGAACTAAACTTCTTTACTGAAGAGTAGGACTTGTAATAAAAATCAGATGTGAGAGAAACTTTATAAACCTTCTTGACCTATTTTACCAAACAATGCAATTTATTACAAGTCATGTTTTAAATTATAGTCTGATGCTCAATAAGAGCTCTCGCGCCCACCCAAATCTTAGTCATATTATGAAAAATAAATTGGTTCCTTTATACCTGATCTCTTTAGTATTCTTCTTATCCTTAATATAATATCTATTTAATTAATTTAATTAGATCAAAGAAGTTAAGTAAGTTAGTTAATTATAAGAAATATGACTTTTTTTTTAAAAATACTATAATCATCTTTCTTAATATCCTCCCTCTCTCTTCTACTTGATTATGATTGAAGGAGTATCCATAAAGGTAATTTTAAAAAAAATTGATAAATATGAGAAATAGATCTTATATTTAAGACCAAAATCAACTCAACAATTAGATCTTATATTAAGAACCGGAGGAGTATATTTAAATTTTGGGTTAATACAAATTTGAGTCTTTCAAGTTTGCCTTCATTTTAGTTTTAGTTCCTCAAGTTTTAAGTTTCTTTTTATTTATAACATTGATTCTTATAATTCAATAAAAACTTGGACTATTGTGCTTCTTAAAAGACCAAAACTTATAATTTGAAATTTGAGGGACCAAAATCAAAATAAGAACAAACTTAAAAGACCAAAAATTATATTAACTTTTTAATATTTCATCGGCATTGTTTAGATGATATTTCTACATTTAAATGGGCACCAAGTGTAAATTTATCAAATCGAAGGAATAGTTATTGGATAAGAAAGCATAAATATATTTCTAAAAATTACAAATTTCTCATGAAGACAAATCATACATTTTTTTATTATATTTGGTGGAATGGTTTAATTTATAATATTGTGTATACCTTAAAAGTAAAAAAAAATTGATTTAATTCAAATTTTATATGATTTAATATGCCAACAGACTTAGATCTATTCATTTATATTCATTACCCCCCAGTTCCTCAGCCAAATCCTACCTTGTGTAATTTTATTATCAATAATAATTTTATAGAATTTGATTGAATATAAGTAAATAGATTTAGAGGACCCCATATCTCAAATCACACTAAGCACTTTTTTTTCAAATTTTTAAATGTGAGATCGTGACCTCAAACCATTTGTCACATATAACGAGCGCATGAATCATTTAAAAAAATAAAAAGAGTTTTGTTTTTAATATATTTCACGTGGATATATACTACCTCTTTCCGTTACTTAACATAAAAGTTAATTAATTAATTTGAGTTAATTAAAAAAATAATTAAATTAATGATTTATAATAAATAAATATTGTCTCATGTAAAATATCTTTATATCAATTAGAACTATCATTTAATAAAATATTAAATATGTGTAACTACTATAAAAATTATGTTAAAAATAAATAAATATGAGGGAGAAAATTAATTTAAATTTTATGTTAGCATATTGGTTTTTTTTTTTTTTTTTGGAGTTGTATGTATAGAGCTTGAGGAAGAAGAATGGGACTGGAGCCTGTGGGACAGGGGTAGCTGGCCATGTGCTGG